GGGGGTTATGGGGCCATCGCCCCGAATGATGAAGCGCAAGGCCCCGGCCCGCCCCGCCCGGCTCTCGCAAGGCCGCCGCACCAGCGCCACACACTGTTAGGGCCGGGAGGTCGCAGCATCGGCCGCCCCCCGTCTGCTATAAAAAAACAGACAAGGGCCTAAATGATGCAACCTGTGATGCGCCTCTCATCAGGTTCACGAGGAACGTGGCGGCGGTGGTGGTGCTGTAACGTAGCAGCGTCTCTAAAACTTTGCTTTTTCTGCGCTATTCAGAACTCCTTAAGTCGGTTCGCGCTCTGTTCGGGTGGCCGGTGGCGGGGGGAAGTCCACACCATTTCTTTAGTTTCGTCAGCTCCCCCTCCCAGACCATCGATTAAGCGGCGAAGTAGCGGCAGTTAGTTGACCGAAATGCTTTGGGGTTTTTTGCTCGGCTATAGGCTCGGCTGGCCTGATGGAGTCGCCAACAAGTCGCGATGTTATTTTCTATCCGATCTGCCGACTGTCTTCTCTCTCCTCCGAAATAAAGCTCGACTCCATTGACCCGCCCAGCTACGCAGCCCCACGCCCAGGGCGTGGCCTGACGGGAGCAGGTGAGGTGAGGTTTAAGATTTTATGAATTTAAGAATTTTATTGTCGACTAATACAAGAAGGCCTTGTGGCCCCACTGCCGTATCAGCCGGCTCCCCGTGAGGTGAGGTGGGGTTGGCTGTCGTGAGGTGAGGTAGGGTAGGGTGAGGTGAGGCGAGGTGGGGGTTAGTTGAGGTGAGTTGAGGTTGAGTCGTGGTAAGTCGGCTGCGCACTGTGCCTCCCCCATTCAGCCATCTCGGGCATCTCGTCTGAGCGACTACTACTGGACTCCATCGGCTTCCCCCGGCCCTCCCCCCGCTGTGGCACGGGCCTCGGCGACACGTGTCAGCTCATGCAAAAGAGCGACGAACTATCTGTCGGTTTGGAGGAATGACTCGGGAATGACCCCCTCACTCGATTAGCCCGGCTGCAATGTCGTGGGAACTGGTGAGGCGTGGCCGGGCGTGGCGCGGAGCAACGTGGCGCGGCGGGGCGTGGCGGGAGTGGCACAGGAGGCTAACGCCCTCTCTGCCCGCCGCGCCCCGCAGCGCCCCGCCGCGCCCCCCGCTTGGCGCGCTCATGGCCACGTTCGGAAGCACCGCGCTCGTCCCGTCTCCCTCGCTCCCGCCCCGAGCCCGGCGGTGCTCGAGGCGCCCCGGACAGAGATGGCAGCCAGTGATTTTTAGCCGCCTTTGCTATTTCGAAACCGCCGGCGTGCGGCGCGCGGCGCCTGCTGCTCTGCCTGCTGCTGCGCTTCTGAAGCTGCGGGATGCGGGGGAGGGGGAGGGGGACATCGCCCCAGGCAGAGTGAGCTCGTCTCCACTCGGCTGCCACTGTCTGCCCTCTACCCGCTGGCGTTCCCTCCCCCGCCCCTCACCCTCACACACTCGTGCGGAAAACGTGATGAAATCGCGGCCTGCTCGCGACTCATAGACCACGAAAGACACGCGGAATGGTCCACTGAGGTCCTGTGGTGCGGCGCGCGTAGGACGCGGTCGCCGGCCGACCGGCAGCTTGGCCAGCTTGGCGTGGCGTTGACGTGGACGTGACAGACATGAGCGTGGCTGATGGGGTCGCCCGCGCCACCGCCACGCTCGCGCCGAGGGGCCAGCGACCTCGCCGCGACGGCCGCCCCGCGGCCCGACGAGGCCCGGCTAGCTGTTGCAGCCTACGGTACAACATGAGGTGGTCCGGGGGCAAGTCGTGGCGCCGCGCCATCGGAGGCAGGTCCTCGATCACGAGGATTTGAACGACCCATCTTTTCGCGCCAAAAGCTCCCCCCCCCTCCGCCCCCTCTTCCTACCACACCGACGCGTCACTGACTCGCGCGGGCTGCGATCACAACAACCTTGAATCCCCCTTTAAATGACGGCCGAGGGGCCCGCGCAGGGCCGGCGGCCGGGCCGGGGGCCGGGCCGAGGGCGAAGGCGTTGAACCGAACCCGAGGCAGATGCGATGCGATGTCGCCATTCGTAGGTCGCCGCCGCCGATCTGACAGACATTCCAAGGCGCGTGACGTTCGACGTCAAATCGGAAACCCTATCACCGGAGGCGAGGTTTTAAGTTTTAAGGAGGGGGCGACAGGAAGACTCGCCTTACATGCCATAGCCATCAGAAGCCGCCTGAAAGGTAAGCAGTTGGCTTCCCAAAAACCCTGCACGCAGGCAACCCACAGAACACCCGAACTCTGAAGCCGCATCTCTATTACCCCCACGATGTAGAAAGACCTACATCGTGATTACCCCCCTCCCCTACTCATCGCCAGCCCCTGCTCCTTGAGCCGCTGACCTGGGGTCACCGTTTACACCCTCTTCCTCTTTCACCCTCCCCTCCCCCCCCCCTCTCTCTCTCGCATCAGCATAACCAACAGCCGACTGGGCATTAGTCGTGCCTTCTTTCTCTCTCGCCTAGTGCCCGTGGTGACTAATGAATGCGATAGGTACGGAGGTACGAATACGAAAGTGATATATCTTGAATCAAGTCGGGCCCGGCCGTCGGCGGCAGCAAAGCAAAAGGCACCTTCATTGATAAACAGTTGGTTACCTAGGTCGCCCTTCCTACAGGGTGGTCCACAGACCCCTTCCTTTATTTTGCTTATACTGTACCGGATGCAGGCGTGCGGCCGGATTGCATACTCGCACGGGGCCATAAGGCGCAACAACGGCGAGCTAGGGTAGGCAAGCCCACCCGCAGGCCTGCATGCTGTACAGTATGTAAGCAAAATAAAGTAAGGGGTCTGTGGACTACCCTGTACAAGTCTCCCCCCGCACTCCCCTATCCTACCCTCTACAGGACGAAAGGATTTCCCGGCGGCGGTGCGCTGCTCCGGGAGCGGGGTGGGGCGGGGGTGGACCGCGTGATAAGGGCCGCCTCACGACGCGCTCCCCGATGCAAGTGAGTCACGAGCGCGAGAGATGCGGGCCGGGCCCGGGCCCCAGCAACACCAACAACAACATCGCCAACAAACAAGAGCAACATACAAACAGAGATGCGCTGGCCGCGCTGGCCGCGCCCCACCCCTCGCGGGCCTGCCTCGCGCGGCACGGGTATCTGGTGTGGTTGTGAGCACAGCCTGGCCGGCCGCAGGGGCAGTATAGTAGTCGTCCGGCCTACAGACCAGACTTAAAGCACGCAGATTCCCCGTTGCAAACGGTCGGTTCGCGCGCGGTTCGTCTTGGCCGCGCCCCGTGTGTGTGTGTGTGTCCGTGTGTCCCCGCGACGTGCCCCAGGCCCCCGCCGCCACCGCCGCTCCTCGCCGTCGGCGTCGCACCGCCATACCGCCGCCGCCACCGTCACCGCCCGGCCTGTCGTTGTGTTGTTGTGCTCCGCTCTCAGTGCGCCGCCGGGCCCCGCCCCGTCTCCACGCCGAGTGTGTCGTCGTCGTCGTCGTCGTGTCCCTGCGACCCGCAGCCCACCGGGCCGACTGTGCTCCCCTGCTTCTTTGGTCCTGCCGGTAAGAGAGGAAGCTGAAAGGGATTTTCGACCCGCGCCGCCGCGCCTTCGCGCGTTTCCGTTTCCGAGTGTCGCTCCAGTGAGTTCGGCCCATGCCCGGCGCGGTGGTGGCAGCGGCAGCCCGAGTAGTGGTGGTGGTGGTAGTGGAGGGGGGGGGG